AGTACGGCTACGTACGGCTACTATACGCCTGCGGCATGCACGGCCGAGCGTACGAGGCTACGTACGGGTACTAGTACGCCTGCGGCGTGCACGGCCGAGCGTACGAGTACGGCTACGTACGGGTACTAGTACGCCTGCGGCATGCACGGCCGAGCGTACGAGTACGGCTACGTACGGCTACTAGTACGCCCCGCGGTCGTACTAGTAGGACGAAGTAGGCCTACTAGTACGACGACCGGGCAAAGCAAGCCTATTCTGCCTCCTGGGAGCCTCCTGGGAATCTCCTGCTCCCCCCTGGGGCCTGTCCTGGGCGTCCTGCGGCCTCCTGAAGCTCTCTGGGGCCTCCTGGGGCTCCCAGGGTCCCACGAGATAATGTAACATGTGTCTTTCTTGGGCCCCCAGGCTGGACCACCTCTTGCGCGGCATCTGGGAGCTCAGAGTTGCGAGAATGTCTTGTGCGAAACAGGCCGGACCACCTTGCGCATGGCATCTCAGAGCTCAGAGTTGCGAGGATGTCTCGGGCGAGATGGGCCGGACCACCTCGCGCAGGGCATCTCAGAGCTCAGAAGTTCGAGGATGTCTCAGGCGGGCTCCCAGGGTCCCAGGGAGGATATGTAACATGTGGTCTTCTGGGCCCCCAGGCTGGACCACCTCTTGCGCGGCATCTGGGAGCTCAGAGTTGCGAGAGTGTCTTGTGCGAAACAGGCCGGACCACCTTGCGCGGGGCATCTCAGAGCTCAGAGTTGCGAGGATGTCCCAGGCGAGACGGGCCGGACCACCTCGCGCAGGGCATCTCAGAGCTCAGAATTTCGAGGATGTCTCAGGCGAAACGGGCCGGACCACCTCTCGCGCGGCATCTCCGAGGTCAGAATTTCGAGGATGTCTCAAGCGAAACGGGCCGGACCACCTCGCGCAAGGCATCTCCGAGCTTAGAGTTTCGAGGGAGGATGTCTCAAGCGAAACGGGCTGGACCACCTCTCGCGCGGCGTCCCGGAGCGCAACTTTTCGAGGATGTCTCAGGCGAAACGGCCAATCCTGGCCAACTCAGAAACGAGAGTTGTGAGGATGTCTCAAGCGAAACGGCCCGGACCATCAAATTTTTGTGAGGATGTCTCTGCTTCGGCTTCCCTCGGCCGGAGTTAGCTTCTACCACAACAACACCCCGTTCAGCAAGCTGTTTGGGGAACCATTGGGCAATTTATAATTTTCGGCTTCTGGGGCCCTTTGGAGGGGCCTCTGGAGGCGCTCTTGGGGCGTTTTGGCGGCGTCGTCGGCCGTCCTGAGGCCATCTTCGGCGTATCCGGGGCCTCTGGGGGCTGTCTTTGGGCGTCCTGGGAACCCGGAAATCATATTCCCCGAGAGGCTTCCGGGAACATATTTTCGAACGAGGCCCTATTGGGCCTCCCTGAGACCGTCTTGGGGGCCTCCTGGGCCGGCTTCGGAGCCTCTTGGGCCGTCTTGGGGGGTTCCGTGAGCCCCACAGGCCGACCCTTTTGGGCTATCTTGGGCCGTCTTGGGTCTCTCTTGGGCTGTCTTGGGGCTCCTCGGGGGCGTCTGGGGCACTGTGAAGACGAAGCCAGCGAGTATGCTGAAAATGTACGTTTTACATTGGGAATGGGCGGATTTTTGCCTCTTGGAGGCCCTCTTGGGGCCCTCTTCGGCCATCTTCAAGCCATCTCGGGCCCTCCGGGGCCTCGCTGAGGCTGTCTTGTGGGCCTCTGGGGCGTCCTGGGAGCCCGGAAGTATGTTCCTGGAGAGGCTTCGGGGAACATGATGTCGAACGAGGCTCTGTTGGACCTCCCTGAGGCCGTCTTGGGGGCCTCCTGGGCCGGCTTCGGAGCCTCTTGGGCGGTCTTGGGGGGTTCCGTAAGCCCCACAGGCCAACCCTTTCGGGCCGTCTTGGGCCCTCTTGAGTCTCTCTTGGGCTGTGTTGGGGCTCCTCGGGGGCGTCTGGGGCACTGTGAAGACGACGCAAGGGAGTATGCTGAAAATGTATGTTTTACATTGGGAATGGGCAGATTTTTGCATCTTGAAGGCCCTCTTGGGGCCCTCTTCGGCCATCTTCAAGCCATCTCGGGCCCTCTTGGGCCTCGCTGAGGCTGTCTTGTGGGCCTCTGGGGCGTCCTGGGAACCCGGAAATCATGTTCCCCGAAAGGCTTTCGGGAACATGATTTCGAGCGAGGCCGTCTTGGGGGCCTCCTGGGCCGGCTTCGGAGCCTCTTGGGCCGTCTTGGGGGGGATCCGTGAGCCCCACAGGCCGACCCTTTTGGGCAGTCTGGGGCCCTCTTGGGTCTCTCTTGGGCTGTGTTGGGGCTCCGCGGGGGCGTCTGGGGCACTGTGAAGACGAAGCCAGCGAGTATGCTGAAAATGTACGTTTTGCGATGGGAATGGGCGGATTTTTGCCTCTTGGAGGCCCTCTTGGGGCCCTCGTCGGCCATCTTCAAGCCATCTCGGGCCCTCTTGGGGCGCTCTTGGGCGTCTTCGGAGCCTCTTGAGGCTTTCTTGACCATCTGTACGGCCCGCGTGGCCTGTCGTGGGCAATTTGGAAACGGCCTGGGGCAGTCCCAGGGGGTCCGTGACCCCCCAAAGGTTCCGGGGGGCGCCCATGGGGGATGATGGCACCGGCCCGGGCCCCCCCCGGCCTACTCCGATACATATATATATATATATATATATATTGTATATGCATATATATATGCATATATTAATATATATAATATATTATATATATATTATATATAACATACATACATACATACATACATGCATACATACATATTCATATATATACATATATCTATATATACACATACCTATACATAAACATATACATATACGTATACATATACATGTGCATACAAATACACATACACATACACATACACATACACATACACATACACATAGACATAGACATAGACATACGCATACACATACATACATACGTCTCTATGATTGTACAGTAGTACATATACAGCTTTGTGCACAGCCAGCTATCTACACATTTACACCTTTGCAGATGAAACAAACTACATACCTAATCACCGTTTACACACATGTGTACATACGTAGATCCCTACACACATACCTACATGTATACATGCGTGTCTGCATATCTGAATGGCAGGTGCACGTATGTGTGAATACAAATATGCGTCTATGTACGTATACACATGTGTGTGTGGCTATATATATACACATATTCTCATACGCACCTCTCCGAGGGAGTAGAGCTCAGAGGCGATTAATGCGCACGCGTCCGCGATTTTTCTGGGCGTTTCGCTCGGGACATCCTCGAAATTCTGAAAATCGGTGGCACCCCTCACGCAGATCGTGACGTCAGGGTCCAAAAACATATGGGAATTTCAACATGTTAACATAAAACCTTCAAAAACAGATGGTAATTTCAATAATTGTGACCCCGATTCTCAGAGAATGGCGGTTTCGCTTGAAAAATCCTTCCAAAATCGAGCCCCAGACCCCGCCTCGGAGCCTCCTGGGGGCCTCCTGGAACCTCCTGGGGGCTCCTGGGGCTTTCTGAACCTTCTGGCACCCCAGACCCCGCCTCGGAGCCTCCTGGGGGTCTCCTGAAACCTCTTGGGGCCTCCTGGGGCCTCCTGCGGCCTCCTGGAGCCTCTTGGGGCCTCCTGAAGCCTCCTGGGGTCTCCTGGGGCCTCCTGAGGCCGCCTGGGGCTTCCTGGGGCCTCCTGGGGCTTCAGAACTACATGCACACAGAGACACAAATCACGCCCAACACATCACACGCTAGACAAACATAACACACACACACACACACACACACACACACACACACAACACCTACAACACACAAAAACACGCACCACACAAAGCATACATCACACACACACACACACACACAACACTCACAATCCTGGGGCCTCCTGGAGCCTCTTCTGGTATCCAAGTCGGGCCTCCTGAGGCTTCCTGGGGGGCCCTGGTACACACATCGCAAGGTGTGGCAACCCCACTTGCGCTCGAGTGCGACTTCGATGTTGCATTTCACTCCTGCTTCAAACGCCCCTTCAGTTTTTTGTATGAGCCTGGGCACACACGTGCCACTTGTATATATGTATCTGTGTATATGCCTACACAAAGATATACATATTCTACATGCACCCATACATACATGCACACACTCACATGCATGCAGACTTACATACGTGCATGCATGCATGCATGCATGCATGCATGCATGCATGCATGCATACAATTATGCATGCATACACACACTCGACCATCCGTGCATACACATATAGGTATACACAAACATGCATGCATACATACATGTATACACACATGTATGCACACTCACATACATACATGCATACGTACATACACACATATATATACATGTAAGCATACCTACGTGCGCACGCCGGTGCAACTATACATACATATATACAGACACATGCACGTCCATGTACACATCCATGCATACATACACAACGACACATGCATACATGGACAAATACATTCAAACCTTCTGTGATGAAATTTCCTGATAAGACACTGAGAGCCAGTTCCGGTGAGTTTCTTAACCCAGGTGCGAGGCCCAGACCTGGGCACCAGAATCCCTTTACGAATCGGGCGTTACAGCACGACCACCCAGCACGACCACCCACAACTCGCAAAACCTTACGTATGCGGAGGGGGCTCCATGGAAGATTTTGCGCACAGCTCGACCACCCAGCACGACCACCAAGCACGATCACCCAGCACGACCACCAAGCAAGACCACCCAGCACGACAACCATCCAGCACGACCGCCCAGCACGACCACCCAGCACGACCACCCAGCACGACCACCCAGCGCGACCACCCAGCACAGCCACCCAGAACGATCACACAGCACGACCACACAGCACGACCACCCAGCACGACCACCCAGCACGACCACCCAGCGCGACCACCACCTTCAGGTTGTGCTGGTGGTTGTGCTGGTGGTTGTGCTGGTGGTTGTGCTTGTGGTTGTGCTTGAGGTTGTGCTGGTGGTTGTGCGGGCAATTGTGCTGATGGTTGTGCTAGTGGTGGTTGTACTGGTGGTGGTTGTGCGAGTGGTTGTGCGGGTGCTTGTGTTGGTGGTTGTGCGGGTGGTTGTGCTGGTGGTTGCGCTGGTGGTGGTTCTGCTTGATGTTGTGCGGGTGGTTGTGCTGGTGGTTGTGCTTGAGGTTGTGCTGATAATTGTGCTGGTGGTTGTGCTGGGAGTTGTGCTGGTGGCTGTGATGGTGATTGTGCTTGAGGTTGTGCTTGAGGTTGTGCTGGTGGTTGTGCTGGTGATTGTGCTTGAGGTTGTGCGGGTGGTTGTGCTGGTGGTTGTGCTGGTGGTTGTGCTGGTGGTTGTGCTGGTGGTTGTGCTGGTGTCTGTGCGGGTGGTTGTACTGGTTGTTGTGCTGGTGGTTGTGCTTGAGGTTGTGCTGGTAGTTGTGCTGTTGGTTGTGCTGGTGGTTGTGCGGGTGGTCGTGCTGGTGGTTGTGCTGGTGTCTGTGCTGGTGGTTGTGCTGGTGGTTGTGATGGTGGTTGTGCTGGTGGTTGTGCTTGACGTTGTGCTGGTGGTTGTACTGGTAATGGGTAGGCTGGAGGTGGTTGTGCTTGAGGTTGTGCTGGTGTGCGGGTGGTTGTGCTGGTGGTAGTGCTGGTGGTTGTGCCTGTGGTTGTGCTGGGGGTTGTGCTTGAGGTTATGCTGATTGCTGTGCTGGTGGTTGTGCGGGTGGTTGCGCTGGTGGTTGTGCTGGTGGTTGTGCTTGAGGTTGTGGTGGTTGTGCTGGTGGTTGTGCTGGTGGTTGCGCTGGAAGTTGTGCTGGTGATTGTGCTGTTTTTGTGCGTGAGGTTGTGCTGGTCGTTGTGCGGGTGGCTGTGCTTAAGGTTGTGCTGGTAGTTGTGCTGGTGGTTCTGCTTGAGGTTGTGCTGGTGGTTGTGCTGGATGTTGTGCTGGTGGTTATGCTGGTGGTTGTGCTGGTGGTTGTGCGGGTGGTCGTGCAGGTGGTTTTGCTGGTTGTTGTGATGGTGGTTGTGCTGGTGGTTGTGCTGGTGGTTGTGCTGATGGTTGTGCTTGAGGTTGTGCTGATAATTGTGCTGGTGGTTGTGCTGGTGGCTGTGCTCGTGGTCATGCTGGTGGTTTTGCTGGTGGTTGTGCGGGTGGTTGTGTTGGTGATTGTACTGGTGGTTGTGCTGGTGGTCGTGCTTGTGGTTGTAATGGTATTTGTGCTGGACGTTGTGTTGGTGATTGTGCTGGTGGTGTTGCTGGTGGTTATGCTTGTGGTTGTGCTTGAGGTTGTGCTGTTTGTTGTTCGGGTGGTTGTGCTGATTTTTGTTATAGTAGTTGTGCTGGTGGTTGTGCTGGTGGCTGTGCTGTTGGTTGTGCTTCATGTTGTACTGGTGGTCGTGCTGGTGGTTGTGCTGGTAGTTGTGCTGGTGGCTGTGATGGTGGTTGTGCGGGTGGTTGTGCTGGTGGTTGTGCTGGTGGTTGTGCTGGTGTTTGTGCTGGAGGCTGTGCGGGTGGTTGTGCTGGTGACTGTTATGGTGGTTGTGCTGGTGGCTGTGCTGGTGGCTGTGTTGGTGGCTGTGCTGGTGGTTGTGCGGGTGGTTGTGCTGGTGGTTGTGCTGGTGGCTGTGCTGTTGGTTGTGCTTCATGTTGTACTGGTGGTCGTGCTGGTGGTTGTGCTGGTAGTTGTGCTGGTGGCTGTGATGGTGGTTGTGCGGGTGGTTGTGCTGGTGGTTGTGCTGGTGGTTGTGCTGGTGTTTGTGCTGGAGGCTGTGCGGGTGGTTGTGCTGGTGACTGTTATGGTGGTTGTGCTGGTGGCTGTGCTGGTGGCTGTGTTGGTGGTTGTGCTGGTGGTTGTGCGGGTGGTTGTGCGGGTGGTTGTGCTGGTGGTTGTGCTGGTGGTTGTGCTGATGGTTGTGCTGGTGGTTGTGCTGGTAGTTGTGCGGGTAGTAATGCTGGTGGTTGTGCTGGTGGTTGTGCTAGTGGTTGTGCTTGACGTTGTGCTGGTGGTTGTGCTGGTGGTTGTGCGGGTGGTTGTGCTGGTGGTTGTGCTGGTGGTTGTGCTTGAGGTTCTGCGGGTGGTTTTGCTGGTGGTTCTGCGGGTGGTTGTGCTGGTGGTTGTGCTGGTGGTTGTGCTGATGGTTGTGCGGGTGGTTGTGCTGGTGGTTGTGCGGGTGGTTGTGCTGGTGGTTGTGCTGGTGGTTTTGCTGGTGGTTCTTCTGGTGGTTGCGGTGGTGGTTGTGTTGGTGGTTGTGCTGGAGGTTCCGCGGGTGGCTGTGATAGTGGTTGTGCTGCTGGTTCTGATTGAGGTTGTGCTGGTGGTTGTGATGGTGGTTGTGCTGGTGGTTGCTCGGGTGGTTGTGCCGGTGGTTGTGCTGGTGATTGTGCGGGTGGTTGTGCTGGTGGTTGTGCTGAGGGTTGTGCTGGTGATCGTGCTGGTGGTTGTGCTTGTGGTTGTGCTGGTCGTTGTGCTTGAGGTCGTGCTGGTGGTTGTGCTGGTGGTTGTGCTGGTGGTTGTGCTGGTGGTTGTGCATGGTTGTGCTGGTGGTTGGGCTAATGGTTGTGCTGCTGGTTGTGCTGGTTGTTGTGCTTGGGGTTGTGCTGGTGGTTGCGCTGGTGGTTGGGCTGGTGGTTGTGCTAGTGGTTGTGCTAGAGGTTGTGCTGGGGGTTGTGCTGGTGGTTGTGCTGGAGGTTGTGCTGGTGGTTGTGCTGGTGGTTGTGCTTCTGGGTGTGCGGGTGGTTGTGCTGGTGGCTATACTGGTGGTTGTGCTGGTGGTTGTGCATGCGGTTGTGCTTGGGGTTGTGCTGGTGGTTGTGCTGGTAGTTGTGCTGGTGGTTGTGCTGGTGGTTGTCCTTGAGGTTATGCTGATGGTTGTGCTAGTGGTTGCGCTGGTGGTTGGGCTGGTGGTTGTGCTGGTGGTTGTGCTTGAGGTCATGCTGGTGGTTGTGCGGGTGGCTGTGCTGGTGTCTGTGCGGGTGGTTGTGCTGGTGGTTGTGCTGGAGGTTGTGCTGGTGGTTGTGCTGATGGTTGTGATGATCGTTGTGCTTGAGATTGTGCTGGTTTCTTGTGTTGGTGGTTGTGCGGGTAGTTGTGCTTGAGGTTGTGCTGGTAGCTGTGCGTGTGGATAAGATGGCGGTTGTGCTGGTGGTGGTGCTGGTGGTTGTGCGGGTGGTCGTGCTGATGGTTGTGCTTCACGTTGTGTTGGTGGTAGTGCTGGTGGGTGTGCTGGTGGTTGTGCTTGAGGTTGTGCTGGTGGTTGTGCTTGGGGTTGTGCATATGGTTGTGCTGGTGACTGTGCTTGAGGTTGTGCTGGTGGTTGTGCTGGTGGCTGTGCTGGTGGTTGTGCTGGTCGTTGTGCTTGGGGTTGTGCTTAAGGTTGTGCTGGTAGTTGTGCTGGTGATTGTGCTTGAGGTTGTGCTGGTGGTTGTGCTGCTGGTGATTGTGCTAGAGGTTGTGCGGGTGGTTGTGCTGATGGTTATGCTGGATTATTGTGCTGGTTCTTGTGCTGGTGGTTGTGCTGGTGGTTGTGCTGGTGGTTGTACTTGAGGTTGTGCTGGTGGTCTTACTGGTGGTTGTGCTGGTGGTTGTGCTTGAGGTTGTGCTGGTGGTTGTGCGGGTGGTTACGCTGGTGGTTGTGCTGGTGGTTGTGCTGGTGGTTTTGCTGGTGGTTGTGCTGTGTCCCTGTGCAGGTGGTTGTTCTGGTGGTTGTGCTGGTGGTTGTGCTCGAGGTTGTGCTTGAACTATGCTGGTGGTTGTGCGGGTGGTTGTCCTGGTGGTGTTGTTGCTGGTGGTTGTGCTTGTGGTTGGCTGGTGGTCGTGCTGGTACCACCAGCACAACCACCCGCACGACCACCAGCACAACAACCAGAACAACCACCAGCACAACCACAAGCATAACCCTCAAGCACAACCACCAGCCCAACCACCGGCACAACCACAAGCACAACCACCAGCACAACCAACAGCACAACCATCAGCACAACCACCAGCACAACCACCAGCACAACCTCAAGCACAACCACCAGCACAATCACCAACACAACCACCCGCGCAATCACCAGCACAACCGCAAGCACAACCACCAGCACAACCAGCAGCACAACCACCAATAAAACCACCAGCACGACCGCCAGAACAACCACCAGAACAACCACAAGCACAACCGCAAGCACAACCACAAGCACCACCACCAGCACAACCCCCAGCATAACCTCAAGCACAACCACCATGACAACCACCGGCACAATCACCAGCACAGCCCCCAAGCACAACCACAAGCATAATCCTCCAGCACAGACGCCAGCACAACCACCAGCACAACCACAAGCACAACCACCAGCACAACAACCAGCACAACCACCAGCACAACCACCAGCACAAACACTAGCACAACCACCAGCACAACAGCCAGCATAACCACCAGCACAACCGCAAGCTAAACCACCAGCACAACCACCAGCACAACCACCAGCACAACCTCAAGCACTATCACCAGAACAACCACCCGCACAACCACCAGCACAACCACAAGCACAACCACCAGCACACCCACCAGCACTACCACCAGCACAACGTGAAGCACAACCACCAGCACAACCACAAGCACCACCACCAGCACAACAACCAGCACAACCATCCGCACATCAGCCCAACCACCAGCACAACCACCAGCACAACCACCACCAGCACAACCACCCGCACAACCACCAGCACAACCACCAGCACAACCACAAGCACAACCACCAGCACATCAACACAACCACCAGCACAACCACCGGTACAGCCACCAGCACAACCACCCGCACACCCAGAAGCACAACCATCAGCACAACCGCAAGCACAACCACCACGCAATCACCAGCACAGCCCTCAAGCACAACGACCAGCACAAGAAACCAGCACAACCACCATGACAACCACCAGCACCACCACCAGGACAAGCACCAGCACAACCACCAGCACAACCTCCAGCACAACCTCAAGCACAACCACCAGCACAACCACCAGCACAACTACCAGCACAACCACCAGCACAGCCACCAGCACAACCACCAGCACAACCACCAGCACCAACACCACCAATGCAACCACCAGCCCAACCACCCGCACAACTACCCGCACAAGCACCAGCACAACGACCATCACGACCACCACCAGCAGCACAACCACATCGAGGAAGAAACTGGTGCCAGCTTTTGGGAATTTGGCATTTCCTGTTAAGGAATATTGACATCCAGCTCGGGGGAGTGAATTTCTTAACAAATGATGTGAGTGTACCTGTACATGACATACATACATGCGTACATACATACACACATACATTCAGACATACATACATACACACATACATGCATACATACATACATGCATGCATGCGTACATGCATGCACACATACATACATACATACATACATACATACATACATACATACATACATACATACATACACACACATACATACATACATACATACATACACACTTACATACCTACATACGTACGTACGTACGTACGTACGTACGTACGTACAAACATACATGCATACATACATGCATGCATGCATGCATACATACACACTAACATATACACATACATGCATACACATATACATACACACAACAAACATCCATACATACATACATGCATGCATGCATACATGCCTACACACATACATACATAACTACATATCTACATGCCTACATACATACATACATACATGCATGAGTGCATGCCTACATATATACATACATACACACATACATACATACATACATGCATACATACATACAGACAGACAGACAGACAGACAGACAGACAGACAGGCAGGCAGGCAGGCAGGCAGGCAGGCAGACAGGTAGACAGACAGACAGTGGCGAAGCGAGCTCGGCCGCAGACGGTGCGTGCGAGACCGAGGCCACGCGCTGCAGGAGGTGCCCCAGGGACGTGGCCGCCGGCCGAGGGCGGCACGAGGCCAACCCCATCGGCGGTGGAGGCCTCCTCCTCCTCGTCGCCTCTCGTTCGTGCCATCTTCGTGGTCCCCATCTTCCCTCTCCCCTTCTCCTCCTCCTCCTCCTCCTCCTCCTCCTCCTCGTCATCATCACCATCAGCAGCAGCAGCCGCATCCTCATCCGATATCATCCGTTCCCGTCTCCTCCTCAGCATCATCGTCATCACCATGATCCCCATTCCCATCCTCATCCTCATCCTCATGATCATTCCCATTATCATCCTCATCCTCATCCAAAGCCTCATCATCATCCTGATTATTATTATCCTCGTCAGCATCACCATTAGCATCATCATCAACATCAGCATCACCAGCAGCAGCAGCAGCTTTAGCAGCAGCACCAGCCGCATCTTCACACTCATCCGTGTCCGCCTCCTCCTCCTCCTCCTCCTCCTCGTCATCATCATCATCATCAGCAGCAGCAGCAGCTTCATCATCAGCCTCATCATAAGTATCATCATCCGATTCATCATCCTCATCCTCATCATCCTCCTGTTCCCCCTCCTCCTCAGCATCATGATCAACACCATCAACCTCATCAACACCATCAACACCTGCCAGTGTTTCACGGCAGGATGTGGCACGCTCTTCCAAGAAGAGCCGGCCAATGATTCACTGCAGGAGGGGTGGCCGGCCTTTGGCCACTTCTATGTCGTTGACTCCGACATCCGGGGCTTCGGCATGTACAATTCCATATATATATATATATATATATATCATCAACATCATCACCACCACAATCGTCGCCACCATCGTCATATCACTCATCCTTCTGTCTCCCCTCTTCTCTCTACAAGTACACATCAGAAATACTACTCAACTCTCTCCCCTCACTCTGTCTGAAAGATGTCCCGCCCTCTCCGCGTATGGTTTCTGACACAAAGGATTGGATAATTGCGTTTTGTGTTACTATGGCGGTTGTTTGAAAATGTTTGAAACCCGGTTGCCTCGGTGTTTCAAAAAGGTGTTCCGCTGCAGCGTGGGCCTCATTTTCGGATCGGCGCTCTGCACCCGTCATTCCGGAATGGCGAATAGCCCTCTCGCCCCAGCGCGGGCCACTTTTCTGGATCCGAGTCCTTCCTCATCGTTGTCGCCCCTCGACTTTCTCTTCCTCAGCCTTCCCCTGGTTTTCCTGCTCCTCCCGCTCCTTCCACTCCAGTTCCCGCTGCTGATGATCGTCCTCGTCCTCATCCTCCTCCTTATCCTACTCATTCTCCTCCACCTCCTCATCATCACGATCATCATCATCATCATCATCATCATCATCATCATCATCATCATCATCATCATCATCATCATCAGCAGCAGCAGCAGCAGCATCAGCATCAGCATCAACATCAGCATCAGCATCATCAGCAGCAGCATCAGCAACAACATCATCATCATCATCATCATCATCATCATCATCATCATCATCACATCATCATCATCATCAGCATCAGCATCAGCATCAGCATCATCATCACCATCATCATCACCATCATCATGATCATCAGCAGCAGCAGCAGCAGCA